TTATAGTACAGTGTAAACATAACTGTGTGTGTGTGTGAGGAAGATTTGCCCTGAGCTAACATCCATTGCCAACCCTCCTCTCTTTGTGCTTGAGGAAGATTAGCCATGAGCTGACATCTCTGGCAATCCTCCTCTACTTTTTTGGAGTGTGGGATGCCTCCATAGCACGGCTGATGAGTGGAGTAGGTTCGCACGGGGATCCGAACCTGCAAACCCGTGCCACCGAAGCAGAGCTCACAGGCCTTGAAGCACTCGGCCACGGGGGCTGGCCCATAAACATAACTTTTATATGCACTGGGGAACCAAAAACTTCGTGTGCCTTGCTTTATTGTGACATTTGCTTTATTGCAGTGGTTGAGAATCAAACTCGCAGTATCTCTGAGCTATGTCTGTATACAGTTTCTGACGCCTTTCACTCCTTTGTATATATTCAGATTTCCTTTTGATACCATTTACTTTTTTCCTGAAGGATGTCATTTCTCTTAGTGCAGAACCTTTGGTAGTGAACTCTCTCAGCTTTTATTTACCTGAAAAAGTTTGTTTCAACTTCATTTTTGAAAAATACTTTCATTGGATACAGAATTCTAGGTTGACGATTATTTTCTTTTAGCACTTTAAAAGACGCCATTTATTGTGTTCTGGCGTGTATGGTTTCTGACTAGAAGTCTTTGGTCATTCTTATCTTTGTTTGTTTGTATATGTGTCTCCCCCCCCCCATGGTTACTTTCTGTGATTTTTCTCTTTATTACTGGTTTCCAGAAATTTGATTGTCATGTGCCTTTGTTGTGCTTTTTGAATGTTTATGTTATTGTTTGTGGTATTCAGTGAGCTTCCTGCTCCTGTGGATTTTTAATTTTCATAAAATTTGGGCAATCTTTGGCCACTCTTTTTTTTTTTTTTTTTTTTAAGATTTTATTTTTTCCTTTTTCTCCCCAAAGCCCCCCGGTACATAGTTGTGTATTCTTCGTTGTGGGTTCTTCTAGTTGTGGCATGTGGGACGCTGCCTCAGCGTGGTCTGATGAGCAGTGCCATGTCCGCGCCCAGGATTCGAACTAACGAAACACTGGGCCACCTGCAGCGGAGCGCGCGAACTTAACCACTCGGCCATGGGGCCAGCCCCAGGCCACTCTTTTTTCAGCTATCTTTTTCTGTCTCCTCTACTCCTAGTTGCCTTCTGAGACAACAGTTACTCATATTTCATATTATCCTAGAGGTCACCGGACCTCTATTCATTTTATTCTGTTTTTTATCCATTTGTTTCATTTTGCTATGACTTCATGTTCAGTGATCTTTTCTTCTCTAGTTTCCAACCTATTGTTAATTTCATCCAGTGAAATTTTCATTGCAGACATTGGAGTTTTCATTTTTGATTGGAATATGAACATTGCAAATTTTATACTTTTTAATGCTGGCTTTCGTTGTATTCCTTTCAAGAAAGTTGGATTCCTTCTGTTAGATGGTTAAGTTACTTTTGAAGTTTAGTTTTAAATGTTTTTTCTTTTTTTAGATTGGCACCTGAGCTAACCTCTGTTGCCAAGCCTTTTTTTTTTCTTTCTTCTTGGCAAAGCCCCCTGGTACATAGTTGTATATTCTAGCTGGGAGTGCCTCTGGTTGTGCTATGTAGGATGCTGCCTTAGCATGGCCTGACAGGCGGTGCCATGTCTGTGCCCAGGATCCGAACCAGTGAAACCCTGGGTCACTGAAGCAGAGTGTACAAACTTAACCTCTTGGCTATGGGGTCGGCCCCTAGTTTTAAATTCTTGTAGGGCAGATCTCGAGTAGTCTTTATTTTAGGTCTAATTTATCCTCCACTTTGAAACTTCTCTCTTTTAGGGTATCTATGAATGTCCCTTGTATTCAGTGAGGTTTCTTCCCTCTGGCTAGAGGAAGTTTGATTGAGTCTGCATCTGTGTGAGCTCTGGGAATTGTTTGTTTTATAGTTCCTCCTGATTGTTCTTTCATCAGAAGTTGTTCTTAGCCCAACCGTAGCCCAAGACTTGGCTGTGCTTCCCTATGCGTTGACAGATTAGATTCAGCCAAAGACTTATGGGAACCCAAATTCAGGTTTCAGGAAATCTTTCTCTCTGGAAGTCTGTGGAAATTCTGTCTGTCTGTCTTTCTCAAACTAGCATGGTTGCTGCTTCAGTGAACAAGATTGTGGGGCACCGTTTGGATTCCCTTCCCAGGGATGCAGTTTGGAAATTGCCTCCAGGCAGAAAGCGTGGGGTATGGTGAGACTCATCCTATTTGTGTCATTATTCTCAGAGATCAAGTCCTGTGCAGCCTCTTGTCCAATGTCTGAAAATAGTTCCTACATGTTGTCCAACTTTTTAGCTGTTTGCTATGGGAATGTAATTGTGGACAGTGTTACCTGCTCATAGCTGGAAGCTGAGTGCACTGTTGTTTCTTGTATTTCACTCCTTGCTCTTAATTTGTCTTGCTGGGTGCATACATGCTTTAGAAATTCTTTCAGAGAGAGTCTCTGGTTGGTAAATTTTCTGAGTGCTTGAATTCTAAAAAGTTTGAAGTCCTAAAACTTACATGATGGTTTGGTTATTAAATTTACAGGTTCAAGGTGTTTTCCTCTGAACTGGGGATGTTCTTTGTTTCCTTCTGTTCAGTGTTGCTGAGAGAAGTCTGCTTTTATTATGATCATTGTTACTTTGTAGGAGACCTATCTTTTATTTCTTATGACTTGTAGTAAAGTTTTCTCTTTATCCTTGGTTTTCTAAACTTTTCTTCTGTCCAGTGTGGATTAATTTTTAAAATACAGCCAACTTTTCTCCTAGGCCCTTTTTCATCTGAGGACTTGGTCTTTTCCAGCTTCTGAGAGATCCTGTTCTATTATTTCTTAGACTATTGTTTCTCACCTGTGGATTTTAGAACTTTTACTCTAGCTACCATTTTTAACTTTTCTCCTACAGTTTCTATATTTGTGTGCTTTACTCTGTTCTGAGAGAATCCCTCAGTTTTCTCTTAGCTTTCATTTGCCCTTCACCTGTGTCTGTTCTACTCTTGTTTAATTTCAATGATCAACTCTTTAATTTCTTTAATTGCTATTTGATTCTTTTTGAGTCCTTTTTTGCTTAATCTTTTTTTGATTTCTTTGGATGTAAATTCTTTATTTTTTGAGTTTTGGTGCTCTTTTTAAAATTTTTAAGTGTTTTTGTCTTTCCTTCAATGTTTTTTCTTGGTTATATTTTCAACTTTGTAGCTGTTATTTTTTCTTACACTATGTATGAATTATGTTTCACTGTTATCTCATTATAGTGAAAGGCTCTGGACCTCTTATCTACCCCATGTTTTGGTCTGGACAGCTCAATTTTATCTGTTTTTGGTTGACATATAATTCATATAACATACATTTTTACCTTTTTCTCTTTTTTTTGCTGGGAAAGTTTTGCCCTTAGCTAATGCCTGTTGCTAATCTTCCTCTTTTTTTTCATTTTCCTCCCCAAAGCCCCAGTACATACTTGTATATTCTAGTTGTAAGTCCTTCTAGTTCTTCTGTGTGAGCGTCTGCTACAGCATGGCTACTGACAGATGAGTGGTGGGGTTCCGTGCCTGGGAACCAAACCTGGGCTGCCAGAGTGGAGTGTGCTGAACTTTAACCACTAGGCCATCAGGGCTGGCTCAAATTTTACCATTTTAAACTGTATAATATAGTGGGTTTTAGTATATTCATTCTGTTGGGCAACTATTACCATTATCTAATTCCAGAACTTTTCCATCACCCAAAATGAAACTCTATATCTAATAGTTGTTAATCCCAGTTCCCCTCTTCCCTCCATCCCCTGGGAACTACTACTCTTACTTTCTGTCTCTATTGATTTACCTCTTACAGACATTACATATCAATGGAATCATATAATATGTGGCCTTTTATGTCTGTTTTTTTGTTTTTACTTAGCATTATGTTTTCTAAGTTTATCTATGTTGTAGCATGGATTAGTACTTCATTACTTTTTAAGGCTGAATCATATTCTATTGTATAGATATACCACATTTTATTTATCCATTAATGAGTCAGGAGACATTTGGATTCTTTCTACCTTTTGGCTATTGTGAATAACTCAGTTTTGAAAACTTGTGTATAAATTTTTGTGTGTAGACATATGTTTTAATTACCTTGTATATATATACCTAGGAGTGGAGTTCTGGGTTATTTGGTAATTCTGTGTTTGACTATTTCTTTATGATTGTTAGCATTAATAGCTTTATTTTGTAAAGAAGCTTTTGCCTTTTCAACAAAAAGATGACAAAAGAAAAGTAGGAAAATAAACATAAAAACACCCACCAAGAATGATGGAAAACTTTAACCCTTAACTAGCAGGTTGATTCTCTGGACTTTTTTTTTTTTTTTTAAGATTTTATTTTTTTCCTTTTTCTCCCCAAAGCCCCCTGGTACATAGTTGTATATTCTTTGTTGTGGGTTCTTCTAGTTGTGGCATGTGGGACACCGCCCCAGTGTGGTTTGATGAGCAGTGTCATGTCCGCACCCAGGATTCAAACCAACGAAACACTGGGCCACCTGCAGTAGAGTGCACGAACTTAACCACTCGGCCACAGGGCCAGCCCCAGGACTTCTGTTTTTTTCATTTGTAAACATGCATGGATTTAACTTGATGGCTTCTGTGACCCTTCCACTTTACTCATTTTGAATTTAAGATTAGAATACTTTTTAGGATTTCTTGTTGAACACAGTTTGAGATCTTACTACATGGAAAATATAGATTGGGAGTTATTGTAATACATTATTAGAAGAATGAATCAAAGTAGTTTGACCATGAAGTTTTATTTTGACTTGTTTTGAATGATATACAGTTAAAATGTGGATTGTTTGGGGTTTTAGACTTAGATCAGTGAACGACTGGAATCATCATTGCTGTTACTTTCCATACTTAGTGGCTCGTGACTGCCTTTGTGCATTTACATGGTTTGATTCTGTGATGCTTTTCACTTTTTGGTTAATAATTAATTTACAATTATTTTAATTCTAGGACTTTGCAGTCCCTGATTATCGTTCTTCTCATCTTGAAGTCAGTCAGGCATCACAGCTTTTGCAGCAGCAGCAGCAACAACAGCTTCGCAGACGACCTTCCTTGCTTTCAGAATTTCACCCAGGTTCTGACAGGTAATGAGGTTTCTTTTATGTTTCCATCTAGGACTGAACTTGTCAAGTATATGTATACTCTTTTTTTTTTAATCCATTCATCAATTGATGGATATTTGAGTTGTTTTCACTGTTGACTATTATGAATAATGCTGCTATGTACATTTGTGTACAAATTTTTGTGTGGCCATTTATTTTTCTTTCTCTTGGTAATATACCTAGGAATAGAATTGCTGGATCATATGGTAGTTCTCTGTTTGCTGTTTGAGAAACTACCAGACTTTTTCCAAAGTGGCCACACCGTCCTACTGGTATTCGTTTTTAAAAGGCAAATACATTATCGGGCTGGCCCCGTGGCTGAGTGGTTAAGTTCGCGCGCTTCGCTGCAGGCGACCCAGTGTTTCGTCAGTTCGATTCCTGGGCGCGGACATGGCACTGCTCATCAAACCATGCTGAGGCGGCATCCCGCATGCCACAACTAAAAGGACCCACAACTAAGAATATACAACTATGGACTGGGGGACTTTGGGGAGAAAAAGGAAAAAATAAAATGTTTAAAAAAAAAAAAGGCAAATACATTAATTTAAAATGCAAATTTAGTGCTTAGCTCCACCAGGACTCCCACTATAAAACAGTATATTTTCAATAAAGATTTTCATAGTTCATTTAAATTTTTTTGGAATTTTAAATGTTAAATATATATTTACTTATTTATGCATGAGTAATTTTGTTCCCCGAAAAAGGATTGGCAAACTGAAATGGGAAATAGTCTGATTTCTGGATGGAAAGAGAACTTTCCATACTCAGTGTTTTTCTTAACTGTCCTGTGCCCTGGCTGCCTTAGGCTCTTCTCCAGCACTGGGTGTACTTCACTTTCTAGCTTTGGTAAATCTCACAGGCAGAGTGGCTGGAGGTAAAATGTAATGCTTGGAATTTAGCTTTTGTAGGTTGTGTCCTCAACAATGGTACCCAGTTGAGGGGACAACTGAGGGCTGAAATCCAGCTTGGGCATTTTGCCAGGCCCTGTGCACCAGAGGGTTGCATCTTCTTATAGAAATTTCACACAAACTCTTCGTACAGGCCAGCAGTGGCCCTGGTTCTAAGTGTTGTATTGAGGGGCTTGGCCTTAAACCTAATGCCGGATGCTTGTTTTCGATAGATTGCCTCTGGCTGCCCTATGGAGGACGAATGTGAGGTGGATAGAGTAAAAGCAGAGAGAACATGTAACAGACCTGTAAGAGAAAGAGAGAATATGGGCGTAAGACAGGGCAATGCAATCAAGATTGAGAGGAGACAGATTTGAGTAAGTTAGGAGATAAGGCTGCCAAGACCTGGCAGTTGGCAAAGGTGAGGGAGGAGACCTGGATGAATCCCAGCTTTCTAGCTTGTTGGATGACAGTTAGTTTCATCAACTGTGATAGAGATTAAGGATAGAGCAGCAAGGATAAGACAACTTGAGTTTGGTACGAATTAAGTTTGAGGGACCTGCGAAACATCCAGGTGGAGTTGTCTCTATCATGCTTGGGGGAGGGTCTGGGTTTAGGAAACAGATTGGTATATGCAATCTGGGAAGTGTGGAAATTGCAAACAGCAATAGTTTAAAGATAAATCTGGAGGATCCCCAAAGATTGAGAGACAGAAGCTTCTGAAGGAGAGAGAAAGAGAAAGAAAAATGATTAAAACAGTAGTCTTCGAACTTGTTACTTGCATATTCCTCAAAAGAATTTTGAAAAGCTGTATTCTACCTAGTATAAGTTGAAATCTAAAATTTTTCATAATAAGTTTAAAAGATGGATATAATTTATGTTGAAAGTATTGACATTTTAGAACAAAACTGCTGTAGTATACTTTTAAAGCTATCTGATGGAATCTAAATACCATAGTGATTTAATACCATGATCCTCTTAAAATGATATTGTATATGAGCAAACTTGTCTTTAATAGAGCTTCTTTTTTTATTCCTTTTTTTCCTGGAACTCATATATTCGTTCTTCTGTTTTCACAAAATTTATCCTACTATGATAGGTTTTTATTATTTAAAGTCTTTTATTGATCAACCTATCGTACTTCAGTGACAAAAATATGTAAAAGTATCTGTCTATAAGGTGCTCTATTAAAAAAAACTTCTGGATTGAAATATCATTATAATGATTATTATAAGATTGATCAAAACAACAATCACTTAAGAAAATGAGAAACAAATTTATTAAATGTAAGTAAAATTTCATGGAAATGCATCCATGCATTAATGACACAGATGAGGCTGTTTTAAAAATATGACTTATTGATAGAAGAAAGGAAGCACATACTCTTCTTATTTTTTATTCTGATGAAAGTACTGAGAAACTTTGTTCACAAAAGTAATTTCTTATGATGTCTTATGATGTCCCAGTCTCTAGTAACCTCTAATCTACTTTTTGTCTCTATGAATTTGCCTTATTCTAGATATTTCATGTAAGTGGAATCATCACCAAATCACATGCTTATTGTCTAAGATAAAAATATCAGTTAACAACTTAAGTTCTTCAATTTTGTTGAAGGCAAATATTTGGGAACTGTTAGTTTGCAAAAGGGTTTATTTCTTTGATGTTCTAGAGGTGTTTACACTCTGAGGGACAGTGCTCCAGTGTAAGAGCCAGGAAGGGTGAGACGAGAGGGTGCAGCTGTGAAAGAGAGGTAGGGAGAGGAGAACCGCAGGTTTGTTATCTGGTAGGTCAATTTAAGTAAAGAATATATGTGGAAGTTCAGGGTCTCTGGAAGTTGATTGTTTCAAGATTATCTATGCTGGTATCCCCTGTGGAAAAATCATTGTATATGCCAGCAAAAGACTTAGAATATGGCAGCAGAGAATATAGTGTCCTGGAAACCAAGAGGTGGTAGAGTTTCAAGAAGAAAGGAGAAAGTGAAGTATAAAATGTAGCAGATACGTCAGCATATGTCTAAAAATATTCTTTCGTTTTCAATATCAGGAGGTCATTGCTGACTTTAGCAAGTAGGGAGCTATTGGAATAAAATGAAATGATGAGGAATTGAGTCAGAGTCGAGTGAGCTGAGTGAATGGAAAAAGAGTAACTGGTGAAAAAGAATATAAATCACCCTTTCAAGTACTACTGTAGTAGTAATTTTCTAATAAAAATTTTTTTGTCAGAATTTGAGATCTCTTTTTATTTCCTAGGCTAGTCTTTATTAATAATGATTCTAAGAATTAAATTGTATGTTGATTTTTTTTATTGTGGTAAAATATACTTAACGTAAAATTTACCTTTTAACTATTTTTAAGTGTTCCAATTCAGTGGCATTAAGTACATTCACAATGTTGTACAACCATCACCACTATTTCCAGAACTTTTTCATTATGCCAAAGAGAAACTCTGTACCCACTTACCAATAATTCCCCATTCTCCTTTTCTTCCAGTCTCTAGTAACCTCTAAGCTACTTTTTGTCTCTGTGAATTTCCCTATTCTAGATATTTCATGTAAGTGGAATCATACAATAATTGTCCTTTTGCATCTGGCTTATTTCATTTAGCATTATGTTTTCAAGGTTTGTTCATATTGTAGCGTGTGTGAGAACTTGATTCCTTTTTGTGGCTGAGTAATAGTCTAGTGGACATATATAACACATTTTGTTTATCTGTTCATGTGTCAATGGGCATGGGTTTCCACATTTTTTGGCTATTGTGAATAATGCTACTTTGAACATTGGTATACAAGTATCTGTTTGAGTTTCTGTTTTCAATGCTTTCAGGTATATACCTCAGTAGAATTACTGGGTCATATTGTAATTCTATGTTTAATCTTTTGAGGAACTGCCAATCATTTTCCACAGTGGCTGCGCAATTTTACATTCCCACCAACAGTGCAGGAGGTTCCAGTTTTTCCACATCTTTGTAAATACTTATTTTCCTTTTTTTAAAAAAAAAGAAATAATTTAAGCCTCCTTACTGGGTGTGAAGTGGTATCTCATTGTGGTTTTGATTTGCATTCCCATAATGCTGAATGATGTTGAGCATCTTTTCATGTGCTTCTTGGCCATTTGTATATCTTCTTTGGAGAAATGTCTGTTCAAATCCTTTGCCCAGTTGTTTGTCTTTTTATTGTTGAGTTGTAGGAGTTCTTTATATATTCTGGATATTAAACCCTTATCAAATACATGATTTGCAAATATTTTCTGCCTTTCTGTGGGTTGTGAAAAGACAGTTTGATATAGTGTCCTTTGATGTACAAAAGTTTTTAATTTCGAAGAAGTCCGATTTATTTTTTCCCTTGTTGCCTGGGCTTTTGGTGTAATATCTAAGAAATCATCACCAAATCCAATATTAGGAAGATTTCTCCCTATGTTTTTCTCTAGGAGTTTTAAATTTTGGGTCTTATGTTTAAGTCTTGAATCCATTTTGAGTTAATTTTTTCATGTGGTGTCAGATATCTGAGTCCAGCTTCATTCTTTTGCATGTGGATATCTAGTTTCCCCAGCACCATGTTTTTTTTCTTTTGTTTTCTTGCTGAGGAAACGGCAAACATCCTGAGCTAACATCCGCTGCCAATCTTCCTCTTTTTGTGTATGAGCTGCCACCACAGCATGGCCACTGACAGATGAGTAGTGTAGGTCCATGCCTGGGAAATGAACCTTGGCTGCTCAAGCAGATGCACCAAACTTAACCACTAGGCCACTGGGGCTCGCCCTCCCCAGCACCATTTGTTAAAGAGGTGGTTCTTTCCTCATTGAATGGTCTTGGTACTCTTGTTGAAAGTCAACTGACCACAGATGTGAGAGTTTATTTCTGGGCTCTCAATTCTATACCATTGGTCTGTATGTCTCCTTATGGCAGTACCACACTCTTAATTACTGTAGCTTTGTAGTAAGTTTTGAAATTGTGAAGTGTGAGTTCTCCAACTTGGAATTTCTTTTCCAAGATTGTTTTGGCTATTCAGGGTCCCTTGAGAGTGCATATGAATTTTATGATGGGTTTTTCTATTTCTCCAAAAACTGCCATTGGAATTTTGATAGAGGTTTCATTGAATCTGTAGATAGCTTTGCGTTGTGTTGTTATCTTAACAACATTAAGTCTTTCAGTACATGAACATGGGATGTCTTACTATTTAAGTTTTTCTTAATTTCTTCCAGCAATATTTTATGGTTTTCAGTGTGTAAGTCTTGAGCCTGCTTGGTCAAATTTATTCCTATTTTATTCTTTTGGATGCTATTATAAATGGAATTGTTTTCTTAATTTCATTTTAGGATTGTTCATTGCTAATGTATAGAAATACAGCTGATCTTTGCATGTTGATTATGTATCCTGTAACTTTGCTCTATTCCTTTATTATCTCTAACATTTTTTTATAAATTCTTTAGAGTGTTCTAAATATGAGTTCATGTCACCTACGAATAGAAATACTTTACTTTTTCCTTTTCAATTTGGCTGTCTTTTGTTTCCTTTTCTTGCTCAATGCTTTGACAAGAACTCCCAATACTTTATTGAATTTAAATGGCAAAAGCAGGCATCCATGTCTTGTTACTGAAGCTTCCTACTCCGTTACTTTTCATGACATCATTGTGAATTTTAAGAAGATAATGGGATTTTATGCCTTGAATGAGATTTTAAGTTTTTGAAGTTTAATAATTTTATAGACGTTGGTTTATTTCATCGTCTATCCTAAAAATGAAACCCAATGATTATCTTTTCAATGAAATGTTGTTCTGTAAGACATTTGCTTAAAGCTTGGCCATAAAGTAAAATGTCGCTCCTGTAAATTCTTTGGTAGAAAATGAAAAGTCAAATTACTGAACATCCATATGTAGTCTTCTGTAGAGTACATCATGTAAGGAAGTCAAAGACAGATTCCTGACCTTCAAGACACTTGTCTCTTGGGGGAAACTAGACAGAATAAATGTTTTGGGTTTTTTTGTGAGGAAGATGGACCCTGAGCTAACTTCTATGGCCAATCTTCCTCTTTTTGCTTGAGGAAGGTTGTCGCCAACATCTGTGCCAATCTTCCTCTGTTTTATGTGGGATGCTGCCACAGCGTGGCTTGATGAGCGGTGCTAGGTCCACCCCAAGATCTGAACCTGAGAACCCTAAGCCACCAGAGTGGAGCGCATGAACTTAACCACTATGCTGCTGGGCTGGCTCCTAGAATATTTGTTTTAAGGGTCAAGATTTATGGCTTCAAAACAATGTTGCATTTCCAACTCAAGAGACTTGTCTTTAAGTCTTAATAATACCTCACAACTCAAGTCATTTATCTTTCCACATAGCAATTGCTGGGAGATTTGTCTTTTTTTGCTTGTTTTTATGATTGGTTGAAAATGGTGGCTCTTCTGGTCTAGATTATACTAAATTCAGTTATTATGGCATAGGCTTAAAAATATTATTTTATGGATATTCTTCAGCAACTTTAAATTTTCTGCAAATTGGAATCTTTTGTTAGATCTTTCACTTCTTTATCACCACCACTCCCACCTCCCCAGAAGAAACTTTTTCTGTTAGAATTAGAAGTTTAATAGTACTTTATAGTGCAATATCTATTCTTCTAGAGTAGGGGGAGAGGGATTCACTTTGAAAATAAGCATAACTTTCTCATTTATTTTGAAGTCCTCCCAGGGATGGTAATAGGAAGTTGTACATCAGTTAAAAAATTTCAAGTGTTTATTTTCTGTGTTTGTATTAGGCCTCAAGAAAGGAGAACTGGATATGAACAGTTTCACCCAGGCCCATCCCCAGTGGATCATGATTCACTGGAATCCAAGAGACCACGTCTGGAGCAGGTTTCTGATTCCCATTTCCAGCGTGTCAGTGCTGCGGTCTTACCTTTAGTGCACACACTGCCAGAAGGGTTGAGGACTTCTACAGATGCTAAGAAGGTAAATATTTGTTCTCTTACCCTGTAGAGATGTTGGTCTGTAATGTTTATTTAGCCATATTCAGGCACAGAGCCTAAAAGAAAGCCCAGTTACACCAGTCTCTAAAGGTTAGTGCTGTGGGAAAGTAAAAATTTTGTTAAACAAAACTGAAAACCACAGACTTAGTGCTCCAGACTTTTAAAGTGAGTACTTTTGACTTTTTAGTAAATGAAAACAACGTGAAGACTGCTGTAAAGAAAAATTACTATCGAATAACTCTCAAGCATTTTGTAATGGCTTGCTGGGCTTAAAAAATGTGCTCAGAGGTACTCAAGATTACCACAGTTTTGTTAAATTTAAATCAAATTTTAAATAACCCCTTTAAATTCAGTTGCAATTTATTAACTTGGTACGTGGGAGAAAACATATTTTAGGTAAGGTTTAACTGAGCTTATAATTTTTATAAAGAAAAAAATTTTTTCTAATTTATGTATAAAACATTCTTTAGAAAATTTGTGAATACTGAGGAAAAAAGTTACCTGTAATTCTAGATCTTGGAGATAAGTACTTGTAAGAGCTAGCTTTATTTTGTGACATGTCAAAGAATGTGTATTGTAAATTTATGAGAAGGTTCCATTAAGATCAGACTTTTTTCCTCTTGTGTTTATGGTTATTTGCCTTTCTTTTATGAAGTGCATGTTCGTGTAGTATGTCCTCAATTCCTTGCTGAGTTTATCTTTTTTAACTATTTTGCTTGTTGTTAAATCTGCAGATTAGAAAGTACCTGCCACTTAGTAGGTACTGAATAAATATTTGTTTTAGAAAGAATAAACTAATTCTTTAAAACTCTTAAGAGACAAGTGTTAACCCTTTTACTATCATATGTTAATATCCCTGCCCCCTCCTTTGTCATCAAATCTCTTTCCCTTGAAGTTTATTTACCTTTTTGGCTAATGGCCCTTTCCACTCTGATATCAGATAAATAAGTACCCAGGTATTCCTTTGAGTTTTTATGTGGTGAAAAGTGATTTAAAAGATGGTGAATATGAATGCAATTTATTTTCAAATAATTCAGCCAAAAAACAAAGCCAGGTGTACGTAGTAGATATATTTATATCTATCTATATATATAGATATAGATATATTTTTATATAGATACTTATATATATAGATGTATTATTTATCTATATAATATATTTATATCTATGTATAGAGAGAGAAAGCAAATGTAGCCAACTGTTAACAACTAGTGAATCTAGATGAAGGATTAATGAGTATCCAGCATATTATTCTTTCAACTTTTATGTAAATTTGAAAAATTTCAAAATAATAAGTTGGGTGGAGAAAAGCTCTTTGTGATAAGCTGGAAATGAGCTAAACTTGTGGGAGTTTTGAGACCCGCCTCACCATGTGAAATATCTGTACTATTAGTTTATGGGTTTATCGGAAATATTTTGCAGCATTGAAAAAAAAGGAAGAAAGAGAGAAAAAAATATAGTGAATAAAGATCTCCATCCAAGGCTGAAAAATTACCCCAAATGTAATTTATATAACTATAGAATTTTTTAGCAAAGAGGGATCTTAAAAGCTCATTCATTAAAATGTGACATGTTGCATCATAGTATAACCTATTTCTATTGTATAGTAGAGAAAACAGATGTTAGGAAAAATTAGGTGACCTAGGTAACACCACTTTGACACTTTGTCCTGCTTTTTCTTTCCTGAGTTGTAAACCATTACTTTTTTTTTTACAAGTAGAGATTTTGAAAGAGCATTTGTTAGTCTTTTTTCTTTTTTTAAATGTTTTTAAACCCAGGTATATCATTTATAGAAGAATTAGATAAGCTTGAAGGAAAAAGTTACTTATAGTCATTAGTTAGGAATCATTCTTAACTTTTTGATATTTCATCTTTCTTATTTGGGTGAGTATATTAATGTGCTCTCTTTGTACCTTGTGTGTAACTTTATTTTTGCTTAAATATACATGAACTTATTTTTGTGTCAATAAATTTACAACTATATTTTTAGTGATTGCTTAGTATTCTATATATGGATACAAAGTAATTTATTTAATTGTCATACATGTAGGTTACCTGTTTGTTCATTAGAACAATGACTTATGTTCTTCTGGCTGTTTCTTTTGGTGTACATTCTTATTTATTTCCTTAAGGTAAATTTCTATTAGTGTAATTAATTACACACCAGAGTTAGCTTATTATTATTATTTTTTTAAAGATTTTATTTTTTCCTTTTTCTCCCCAAAGCCCCCTGGTACATAGTTGTATATTCTTCGTTGTGGGTCCTTCTAGTTTTGGCATGTGGGACGCTGCCTCAGCGTGGTTTGATGAGCACTGCCATGTCCGCACCCAGGATTCGAACCGATGAAACACTGGGTGACCTGCAGCGGAGCACGCAAATGTAACCACTCGGCCACGGGGCCAGCCCCCAGAGTTAGCTTATTTTTAAGGCTTTCATGAGTATTTCCAGATTGCCCTGCAAAAGGGTAGGACCAGTTCTTATTCCTGACAACCGTATGTAAGGGTGCCCAGTTCTTTTGTACCCTTGCTGATATCACATATTTATTGTTTTTTAAAAAATTCATTGTTAATTTGATAAATTATTAATTTCCAAAACAAAAGATTGTGTTTTTTTATTTTGATCCACCAATCTTTTTTTAATTTTTTTAGTTTTCTTTCTTTTTCTTTTTTTGAGGAAGATTAGCCCTGAGCTAACTACTGCCAATCCTCCTCTTTTCACTGAGGGAGCCTAGCCCTGAGCTAACATCATGCCCATCTTCCTCTACTTTATATGTGGGACGCCTACCACAGCGTGGCGTGCTAAGCGATGCCATGTCCGCACCCGGGATCCGAACCAGTGAACCCTGGGCTGACGAAGCGGAATGTGCAAACTTAACCGCTGCACCACTGGGCTGACCCCTCTTTTCTTTTTTTTGAATGTCTTTTACTGTTGGCTTTCCCAAGTTCAAGATAATGTAAATATGTTTTTTCTGTTTGTCTGAAGCTCCTTGTTGATTTGCTAATAAATGTCATATAAATATTTGCTTTGATTTGGCTTTTATTGTGATATAAGTTGTGAGGTAGGAATCTAATTCTTTTCCCCCTAAATAGCTATCAGGATGTTCCAACATAAGATTATAAGCTTCATAAAGGTGAGCTTCATATATGTTTTGTGGTTTTGTTCACCACTCTGCCTAGTGCCTGTCATTTAGTGGGCACCGAAGGAATTTGTTTTTTTTAAATATTTAACTAGAAAGGAAGTCACTGTAAATTTTGATATGTAATAGTAGTTCTTAGGACATGCATCAGATCATCTGAGGAGCATTTTCAAAATCTGATAAATCAAAATATAATCTGTTTTGCTATTATACATATTCTGTAACATGTTTAGCTCATGTGCATATGCTAGGAGAATGACATTAATATAGCATGGAAATCCTGGTGGTTCATCAGTGATTTTTCCTTGCATGTTAATGTTTCCAAGCTCTCAGGATCAAGCTGTCTCATAATTACAGAAATAGCCTTCGTTATGTATATAGACCTTAAGAAGATTTGGAAATTCTGCATTTAGTCTTAATTTAGTGCAAATAGTAGTTGGCTTAGTGAATTCAAGAACTGCTCTACTTTTCACAGTGTTAAGCTAACTAGTGAAGATCTGAATGTTGAAAAGAAAGTGTGAAGATATTTTCTCCTGTATTTTTTATTTTTAAAGGTTGATAAAGAAGGTTACGCCTTGAATCTGATTTTTTATTTTGATGAAACATACTGTTTTCTATTGAAAGCAAATGACCTCAAGGATTTACATCTTAACAAAGGAATCATGAACTACAGGGTTTAAGGCTGCCAAAGATTGACTGTAGGCTGAATGCAAATGATACTGGAGCTTTCACTATATTATTACCTCTACTAGAGTTGTTATTAATTTTGTTAATGCTCTGCTTGCAAAGTTGTACATATTTTAAGAAATAACCATAATTCTTTTTTCCTCAGAAGTCTTATATTTAGCATGTACTGTTAGAGAATATGAGACTTTTCAGGAATATACGTATTATGTTTTAGCTGAAATCTGTTCCAAGGTGTTTTGGAACAACTTATCCAGGTATAATTATGTGTGTTCTCGGTTAGAACTACTGATTTTTCACAGTTACTTAATCATTATTTAATATACTTAGGGCTCTATAGTCTCCTATGAACTATGCTCATTCTATGCTCTTAGAGCCTAAAGAAAACTAATACTTTAATCTAAAATTCATCTGCTTTACAGTACTGCTTATATCTTCACCTTTGGTAATTAATAGCCTGTGCGTGTTTGTGTGTGTGTGTGTTGATAGGGTGGTAGATTTTGGGTGGAGAGGCTTTCATTTTCCTCCTATTCTCTGCTGATTTGGAGGTGGAGTGGGATGATGTATTTGGCTAAAGAGATGTTATGTATGCTGTAGTGTGGGCAGACTTGGTTGCCCTTTATGAGGGTAGTCCTAGGTGATAGTAGGAACAAAAGTTCCTATGTCATTTCTCTGACTTCAGTACTTCAGGATTCGCCCTTGGAAAGCCTGAAAACTTTCTGATAGGATCTCTTGGCCATATCATAACTGTTAAGTTGGATGGGCACACAGATTTTATCCAGAGTTTACACTGTTGACCAGCCTACATGTTCAGACTTTTTGAAGAGACATTGTAAGGAAATGGCTGAGAAATTGGTATATTCCTTTCTCGTGATTGCATTATTATTTCCCCAGAAATTCTCTGTAGTCTCAGTAATGTTACACTAAAGGCTGATCAGCCTTAGCCACCTCATTCTGTATCCCTTTTAGGATCTTCAAAATAGTGAATGTCTTAATTATAAAAACAGTATAAACATCAGTAGGGTTTGCATGTGTGTCTGTGTGTGTGTATAGAAAATTGCTAATATAGGACTACTATATGGAGAAAAAGCACACTTGGCTCTGCTATGTTTTAAAATTGACTTTTCCAGTTGAGAGAATCTTGACTCTAACGTTGGCTATCAGTGAAGAATACATTTTTCTGGATTTTATTCTCTAAAGGATCCAGCATTTGGTGGCAAACATGAAGCTCCATCCTCCCCAATCTCTGGGCAGCCATGTGGAGATGATCAAAATGCTTCACCTTCAAAACTTTCAAAGGAAGAGTTAATACAGAGTATGGATCGTGTAGATCGAGAAATTGCGAAAGTAGAACAGCAGATCTTTAAACTGAAAAAGAAACAAGTAAGTGTTTGATTTTACTGCTTAATATAATCTAAGAATGTGTATTTGTCTCTCTAAAGAAGGTAATGTTGAGTTTTCCATATATATATATATATATATATATATATACATATACATACATATTATTTATTTTTTTTTGAGGAAGATTAACCCTGAGCTAACATCGACCACCAATCCTCCTCTTTTTGCTGAGGAAGATTGGCCCTGAGCTAACATCTGTGCCCATCTTCCTCTATTTTATATGTGGGACGCCTGCCACAGCATGACTTGCTAAATCTGTCTAGGTTCGTGCTGGGGATCTGAATCGGCGAACCCCAGGTCCGTGAAGCAGAGCATGCGAACTTAACCACTATGCCACCGAGCTGTCCCCAGAATTTTCCATATTTTTGAACCTTAATTAGAAGGAATCATGCCTTGTATATTCTGTGACTTGCTTTTATTTATTTATTTTTTGCTATTTTCTTGGTTTCATCCATTCATTTCCTCTACTGCACCGTTGATGTGATTATAGATAGCAAAACTTGTTTGTCCATTTTATTTTTTATCTTATTGGATGGGTTACTTCTGGTTTGTTGCTATTCCATCCAGTAGTGCTGTGTTTTTGGTTCACATATAAGCAGGTTTTCTAGGGCATGTGCCCAGAAATGGCATTGCTTGGCCTGAGAGTATACACATCTTTGAGTGTACTAGATGATACCAAGTTTGCCAAAATGGCAGTACCATTTTACATTCTCACTGGCAGTATGTACAGGTTCCAGTTTGTGCATATCCTTGCCTTCACTTGATAATTTTTTTCAGCTTTAGTTTTTTTTTTTTTAAAGATTTTATTTTTCCTTTTTCTCCCAAAGCCCCACGGTACAAAGTTGTGTATTTTTATTTGTGGATCCTTCTAGTTGTGGCATGTGGGATGCTGCCTCAGCATGGCTTGACAAGTGGCGCCATGTCTGTGCCCAGGATTTGAACCAGTGAAACCCTGGGCCGCTGAAGCAGAGTACGAGAACTTAACTACTCAGCCACCGGGCTGGCCACCTCACTGTGGTTTTTTTTTTTTTTTTTTTTTTTTTAAAGATTTTTTTTTATTTTTTCCTTTTTCTCCCCAAAGCCCCCCCGGTACATAGTTGTATATTCTTCGTTGTGGGTCCTTCTAGTTGTATGTGGGACGCTGCCTCAGCGTGGTTTGATGAGCAGTGTCATGTCCGCGCCCAGGACTCGAACCAACGAAACACTGGGCCGCCTGCAGCGGAGCGCGCGAACCCAACCACTCGGCCACGGGGCCAGCCCCCACCTCACTGTGGTTTTAATGTGCATTTCTCTCATTAGGAATGAGACACAGCTTATTTTCATTTGTTTATGGGTTATTTGTGTACCTTATGTGGATTCTTATTTTATCATTTTCTTGTTTTTAGTATTTCCTAAAGTCTCTTGTCAGTTACGTGTATAGTGGATGTCTCCTATTGGTGGTTTGTCATTTTGCTTTTTTAGGGGGAGGATTTTTTTTATTGGGATAAAATTTCTGTACCATAATATTCACCCTTTTAAATTGGCTTTTAGTGTATTCATAAAGTTGTGCAACTGTCACCACTATATAATTTCAGAACGTTTTTGTTACTTTATAAAGAAACCCCAGATATCTATAAACAGTTACTCTCTATTTCCTCCTCCCGCCCAGCCCCTGGCAGCCACTAATCTATTCTCTGTCTATATGGATTTGCCTATTCTGGACATTTCAGATAAATAGAATCATATAACGTGACCTTTTGTGTCTGGCTTCTGCTTCTTTCATTTAGCATGTTTTCGAGATTCATCCATGTTGTATCTTGTATCAGCACTTCATTTCTTTTTATGGCCGAATAGAATTCCATTGCGTGGGTATTCTGTGTTTTGTTATTCCATTCGTTAGTTGATGGATATTTGGGTTGTGTTGACTTTTTCTCTGTTATGAATAATGTTGCTGTGACATTCATGTACTGGTTTTTGTGTGGACATATGTTTTCAGTTCTCTTGGACATACTTAGGAGTGGAATTACTGGGGCATATGGTAAATCTCCATTTAAATTTTTGAGGAACTGCCAAATTGTTTTCCAAAGTGGCTGCGCCATTTTACATTCCCACCAGCAGTGTATGAGGGAGGGTTCCACTTTCTCTACTTCCTTGTCAACATTTGTTATTTCCTTTTTTTTAATAGCCATCCTAGTAAATGTGAAGCAGTATCTCATTGTGTTTCGATTTACATTTCCTTAAGGACTAATGATAAGCATCTTTTCATGTGTTTGTTGGCCATTTGTATATTTTCTTTGGAGAGATGTTGATTCAGATTCTTTGCCCAGTTTTTAGTTGGTTATTTGTCTTTTTATTGTTGATTTGTAAGAGTCCTTATGTATTCTGGGTACTCAGATGCATGATTTGCAGATATTTCCTCTCATTCTATGGATTTTTTCACTTTCTTGATAGTATGCTTTGATGTACAAAAGAGTTTTTTTCTCTTATTCAGATACTTATTGAGCAGCTAGGGAGATATAAAAGTGATTAAAATATGGTCAAAGAGGTGAGTCAAATGCAGAAGTAATAGAAAGCAAAGTATAAGGTTGAGTGAACCACAGCTGTCAAACAAAAATGCTTTAGAAAATCAAGAGTGAGACTGCTTCCAGTCTGGAAGGGGGTGTGGGTGTGTGGCAACTCAGGAAAGGGGCCTGAGATGAAAATAGAAGACTTCAGTCTGGATTGCTGGTGATACTCAGTGTGGACTATATTTGTCTCTCCTGTTCCTCTCTTCCCGTCTTTGGGCTTAATTTACCAGTGTGCTTTTTCTAGACTTGCCTGCATTTTTGCTTTAATGTCTTCTACAGAACTAGGTCCTATCTGTGTTTTAGGAATTTTTTCCTGTTTTTTGAAGGATTTTGACCTGTTGATCTTGGTGTTGATTGTTTTGAGTCTTTTCCATTTTGGTTTGACTTTTGTGCTTTTTTGGCTGGAGTCTAATGTAGATTTCTTTACTGGAGCTTTTTCTTCAGTTTTTTCATCATCTTCATCAGCAAGTTTTACTTTTTTCTGTGGAACCTCATTACGGCTTCCAGGGACATGTTACCTTTTGGATATACTTAGGAGTTTCACATCGTCCTTTTCGTCTTCTGACTCTGCATCTTCTTCCACAGCTACTAAGTGCTGTCTATCAATATGTACAGGCCCTGAACCACATTTAGGCCACAGGTAGTGTTATTTCAAAGTCCTGGAGGGAAACCATTGGCTGTTCAGATGTTTTCAAAGTGGCAGTGTTACTTTAATTGGACTGCCTTCATAATTCATTGCCTCGGCTTCAACAATGCAATTCATCCTTTCTACCAGCCCTTGAACTGTCTGTTCTTAAAGATGACATGCTCATTTTCATCATTACCACTTTAAAGTGATAATCTTTGTTGACCTTTAGTTCGCAGCTGAAAAGATAGTACTGGGGCCTCAGGGGCCTCATGTCCATTTGCACTGAATCTTCTCTGGAGTGGTGTCTGGCTCTTAGGTGGGAGAGAAGGCAGATGGAGATAAACGACTTTTGTAGTAGAAAACAGCTATGCAGGACTGAATCTTACCAGGGCCAAAAGTTTTTAATTGTGATTAAGTCCAGTTTATTTTTTTATTTTTATTTTTTTAAATGTTTTATTTTTTTCCTTTTCTCTCCCCAAAGCCCCCAGTACATAGTTGTATATTCTTCGTTGTGGGTCCTTCTACTTGTGGCATGTGGGACGCTGCCTCAGCGTGGTTTGATGAGCAGTGCCATGTCCTTGCCCAGGATTCGAACCAACGAAACACTGGGCCGCCTGCAGCGGAGCGCACGAACGTAACCACTCGGCCACGGGGCCAGCCCCTCCAGTTTATTTTTACTTTCATCACCTTGCTTTTGGCGTCGTATCTAAGAAACCATTGCATAATCCAAGGTCACAAAGATCTATACCTGTGTTTTCTTCCATGAATTTTATAGTCACAGTTCCTACATTTAGGTCTTTGAGCCTAATAGTGTTTTTTGGTGAAGAGTATTTCTTTAGACTTTATATAAGACTATACTGATGTCATTAGAATACTTTATTATATTGTCTTTTTAAAAGGTACATTTTTGCTTCTCACATTATTCTTAATCCACCAGAAATTGATTTTTTTGTGTCTGCCTCAACAAAGGGGTCAACATTCATTTTTTCCTGTATGGATAATTAATTGAAAAGTTCATCCTTTCCCAGCTATTCTACAACTGTACCTCTATTATAATTCAGGTTTGTGTCTATATTGTTTTCTGGGCTTTGTGTTCTTATTTATTGACCTCTTTTTGTTTTTATTTTTGTTTTTTTAAAAGATTGGCACCTGAGCTAACAACTGTTGCCAATCTTCTTTTTTTTTTTTCCTGCTTTTTCTCCCCAAATCCCCCAAGTACGTAGTTGTATATTTTAGTTGTGGGTCCTTCTAGTTGTGATATGTTCTCTTTTTGGTTTTGATGCAGAAAAACAATAGATATTCTCCTACTTACTAGAGCTTTATAATAATTCTTTTTTTTCCAGCAAGGAAAGCCCCAATTCTACAAGCATGTTTTAGCTATTTAAAGTTTTTTACCATCTCATGTAACTTTTAGAATCACATTTTCTGGTTCTCTAAAACATCTTTCTGGAATTTTCATTGGAATCATAATAGAATATAGAGATCAATTTGGGGGAAATGATATTTTTATGATACTGAGTCTTCTAATCCATGAATAGGGTGTATCTGTCCATTTATTTAGGAGGTCTTTCATGTTTTGTTACTTTCTGTTCATAAATATTTTATATGGCTGTGTTAGATTCAAGTCTTGGTACCTTATAATTTTGATGCTATTGTTAATAATATTTTTTTAAATTATATTTTTCTAACTGTTGCATTTGATTATTATTTATTTTTAATATATGGACCAGCAACCACCCTAGATTATCCTTTTATTGCTAGTAAATTATTTATAGATTCTTTTAGTCTTTCTCTGTAGGTAAAGG